GGGTTTTGCCAAATTTGAAAATCCTGAGGGTGGAATGTCTCTATCCTACACCCATGGGCATGAAAGAGTATTTTCTCTCTCATTCCAACCACGAGAATAAGTCCAGAAACAATGAAAATGCGTTTGGACTGGCCACGATTTTTAAAATATCAATTTTCCCCCAGAGCTATTTAGGCGAAAACAAATCAGCCAACCAGATTCAGCATATCCCATATTTGCAAACAATGTTTGCGCAGAAAAATAATCACATCTCTCTAACGTGTACGGTAAATATATCGTAATTTGTTTTACTTTCATCACGTCGCCTTTTCCGCATTGCGGCATCGGAGAGTCCACATTCGTGACGTCACATCATTGTTGAGCCATTGTGACGTCATGTCACGTGAAATGGGTTGTAAGATAGAAATTTCCTCCACCCCTTTCTTACCCTGGACAGCTCTATCTTACACACAGAGAAATGAGAGAAAAAACAATTTATCTATCAGTAGATTATAACATAGCCATAAACAGACAAACCCTCAAAAATAAAAGAAAGAACGAAGATGAACAAACAATGAAGGGGTGTGTAGATCGATGTTGGGAGGAGGTCATGGACACTCGGGATCATAATAAGTATGTAGATTTTGTCAAAGCAAAGAAGACAGAAAAGAATTGGGTTAAAAACTTAAAAACACGACTTGAACAACATCAAATTTTCGACAGGTGACGCACAACACCAAGAAAATTCTAAAATATTATAAACATGAAAATATAGAGAAATGAAATAACCAGGAGAGAATATACGAAGTCGCGTAAGAGAAAACGAAATCAACTACAACAATACTGTTAAATCAACTACAACAAAACTGTTAAAAAGACAAAATGTTCCAAGTTGATATGATTGAATGTTTTCCTTGAGAAAATGTTTTTGTATTGTTGATAATGTTTAGATAATAGTGCTTCATGTAAACAATTGGCGAAATATCCGAATGATTCCCTACTATTGTCATATATATGTACGACATGTATCTAAAGAGCTTATCATTACCCTTATATTCTGCTGAAACAATGTTTTTCTACGTTGACGTTTTTGAAACAAAAGGAAACAACAGCCTTTTGGAGCAAAACAAATTATAAAAACCGGCAGATTACAAACTAATGTTTTAAAATTTCAAAGTACATGTACCGTAGAACGAATTAACAATTTGTTTTTAAAACACAAGGTCGTGATACACTGCTAAATGTGGTTTTATAACCGTGCGTGACTTCCCTACAACGTGACCTGAAACGCCAGTACTGTGTTGTATATAAGTCATAGACAAATTATTGTCACGTTTTGGCGTCTTTTTTGTATCATGCTCGTTAATTCCGATTTTCGTTGATCATCAAATGAACTTTATTGCAATTATAAAGCTTAAGTTTACATGTACATTATACGTTTTAATATACTGAGTGAATAATCAATATGCCATCACTCCACCTTAGTTTTCTGTTTATCTGTTTACTGGTTGTTACCTTAATGCTTTTCTGTCCCGTCAATAACATATATTTGCATTCACAAAGTCTATTCTATCAACCATTATGAAATGAATTTTAATTGGGACTGGTCCGATAATTATTTTTTAAAGGGTAAATATTTGGATATTTAGCAGTCCTTGCTTTAAGTGAAAGTCTATGGTTAATCAGTACTTATATTGTGGTTACAGTTATAATAATGTCACAAATTCAATGTTTTGATTAAAGATTCGATATTGTCGACTTCAATAATTTCTTATGTATGAAATATGTTTCATATATATATATATACTAGGACTGAATCCTAATTTAGCGGGACTCTATGGATTAATGAAAATGGTTACCCGATTAGAACTATTTATTTCGAGCCTTTGGAATCGCAAAACCCGTCATCAGATATGTTGTCAAAATATCCTTGGTTACTGTCATCAGCACAACAGCATCAGCGGCACACAAACAACCGGACACCTCGAATGCCTTTGTCTGTCATTAAAGATGTTATAGAAATTAAATACATAGGATGTATTAAATACGGATAATAGAATGTTCAGCTTCAACTAAAATTCGATAAAGCAAGAGCAGATTAATAACGACACTTTCTATGTATACATGTCTATGCACGTTAATGCCACGTCGTCACAGTGAGAACTACTGGGAAAGTGATAACAAAGCACAATAGTACTTGTGACCATGATGGAAAACATCGATCTCCATATCACAAAAGGAGATTACAAATTCCCAATGTGATCATGACGGCTATTGATAAACAACTTGTTCAATAATTTAAGTAGTGTTCCTTAGCCTTTATTTCTCGAAGACATAAAATAATAGGAAGTTTTTCATATATGTAAGTATCTACTATACGTTTGAATATGACAATTGCAAAACTATTGTCCAAATTATTTGCATTGTAGCTGTTCACTCAAAACTCCCTGGAGTAATATTTTCAACGGGACAATTCTGTATGGCATTTTTTCTTTGCGTGTACTTTTCTATTAACGCTTTACCTGTGTAACAGATGTCACTAATACAAACGACCTACAATGTGGACTCCCTGCTTACAAAAGCTGCAACTGCACTTTACTAATTATCCTTGCAGCTTGCATTATTACCCTTTTTTATTTATCAGAAGTTCAGATTTCATTGAGTGTAATTAAAACCTGAATTATTATGTAGTTTCAACATTATGACAAATCTATGAGCCAAGTTAAATACACAATTCATTAAAGATTGGTTTGGATTTCCCTTGTGGGGTTCTTTCTTGGAAAGGCGATGAATATGACAGGATGGTACAGTGTACATGTACATAAACATAAAATTGGTTACCTGTAAGGAATAGCATCATTACAAATCCCATCACTAGATGTTTCAAGACAGTGTCTATGGTAAGTCGGTAAAAGTAAAGAATATTAAACGTTTAGTTTCACGACTACACGGGATATCATACATTGTACTAGTTTTGTCCTTCGTAATCCAATCGCTTGGTACTCTCTACAGAAGACAATGAGTTACTATGATAATGTTCTAGTCTTGTCAGGTACTAATGATTTAATATTTATATTTCCCTATAAATGTACTCAATGGTTTATCCAGTGTTTGCCATGAACTCGAGGTGTTTTTGTTTAGGGAAATGTGAAATGCGATTTTTTTTTAAATTTCTATGCTTTAAACGCTTATTCGATTAGCCGTTACCACACGAAAGCAAATATCGTCATATCCGGACAATACAATATTCCTGTTTTTACCAGTGATGGATAAAAACACATTGCGATTTTATTGATTTGAAACCCATTTTGTTACATTTAAAAGCATAGAGCCTTTTGTCTGTACATGTATATGTAGAGCACTTTAATGTGTGCATGATACTACACTACCGTCATGGTTTAAGTATGAATTGTGTCTGAGCATAATTTGTCTCGTTTTTATCAGACATTTTATGCTTATTGTTTCATATCCTCGCTACAGCGGAAGTTATGAATATGGTTTGCACTGATCAATAGATAACTTAATGACCATTCTAACGTTACTTCTCATTGAAATGTAAATTACCAGTACACGGAAACATGGAATTTCCTGAACTTCCTATTATCATGACAATGGGCTAGCAATGGCTGTCTATGGCGACAGTGCAGACAAGAGAAATTATGAGAACTGATTGCAATATTTGCCAGTATTTTGCATACAAGGCTAGATTTATCGATGAGCTTTTCAGGACGGATAACAAAGACCTTTCGAAGTCATTCAATTCCACAGTCATAAAAATCTATGATGAGGTATCTTAACTTAAAAGACAGGTTTTGACCTACCCTACCTTACCCAACCTGATCTGGAAATCAAAATCACTATAATTTCTTTTGTTTCAGCCGCTTTCCGTGATGTTTGCTTATTACTATGCTGTGACTTTTTTCTTCTTTTGTGTTTCTTGAACGTTCTTTCCTGCCCGAAAAATCCAGGATTCCCCGACCTGTTTACATTTCTCCGTTGTTTCGATATTAAAGATAGATCTCTAGATATTGCGATTTCCTTACTAGATCGATGTTAAGGGACACATGTTCACAATAGGGTTTCGGAAGATGCAGGTTTGATGATGGCAACTGGCAAGATTAAATGTCGAAATTATAATCCATTTAGAAATATTCCATTTTCTTGTGTGACACAATATCACCCTTTTTATAATGCTCTTTGGTGACAAGATATTATATCTCTTTAATCCAGATTCAAATGTTAGGTGTCATAAAAGAAGAGGACAACGCATACCTTTCCTAAACATCTGGTCTTATTCTTCTGGCGGCGCTGTTTCAAGGGATGTTTTTATTGTTCATTTTCGACCAAATGACATCTATTTTGGGTCACTATAACTGGTGTATTTACACTTTGTTTGGTATTCTTCTGTTTCTTTTGTAAATGATACATATTACAGGTATATTTATATTTGTTTTTTTTTCTGTTTCTTTAGTAAATGGTACATATTACATGTATATTTACATTTCGGTATTCTTCTGTTTCTTTAGTAAATGGTACATATTACAGGTATATTTACACTTTGTCATTTAATTTCTTTAGTTTGGTTTGGTTTTATTTTGTTTAACGTCCTATAAACGGCTAAGGTCATTTAAGGACGGCCTCTCCTGTGTGCAAGATGCATGCGTGTAGTGTATGTATGCGTGTAGGGTATGTGTGTGTATTTTGGGACTCCGGTTATTCTTCTGTTCCTGTAGTAAATGATACATAATGCAGGTGTATTTACACTGTCGTATGTTATAACTTTAGTAAATAATACATATTACAGGTGTATACATAATACAGGTGTGTTAACACTTTGGTATTTTATTTCTTTGGTAAATTATACATGGTACAGGTGTGTTTAAACTTCGGTATTCTTCTGTTTCTCGCAAAATATTTGTAATATACAGTACCTAGCTATATAGTTTGCCTTATTAATGATAAGGAGTATGTCCTCCTGGTTCTACATGTAGCTCTTGTCCCAGATTAAGACACTTGTGATGTAAGTACAGACACGTTGTGCTGAGAGGGCACGGGATATATAAGAAGATCGTGAGAGATAAGATTACTTTTATGTCTGTCACTCTACAATCTACATCAAGGTGAGTTGTCTTATCTCGGCTGTCCATAAAATGGTATCAAGTGTCGTTTCAGTTACTTTGTAACACGTTTTCACAAATAAAAATTCAGTTGTGTAAATAATTGTAGAAATAAGAGTGCATATGGTGTATTATATTACAAATTGATCTTTCGGAATACCATGATATGTGCTATGTTTTCAGGATTATAAACTCTGAGCATATATTCGTTATACATTTTTATTTTAAAGGTTATGAAGCTTGGCTAAATGTTTTAATGATATTTTATATAACTGCACGTCGGCTGGTTAATGCATGCGATTTTACAATTTATTTGCAGGTTTTTAATATTGCTTAGTAAGACTATTCCCCAGAATACCTTGCCATTTAAAACGGAATATTCATTTATTTCTAAAAAAAATCCTTAAATCAGTGCATACAGAACACACACAAAACATTCTTCTCATATCATATTTTCATTTGAAATACGTTTCAATCGTCGTAATGTACATGATAATGATGAATTAAATACATCCACGCTATATATACACATTTAAATCCTAATTTCAAAACTGATTCTGAATCTAGACTTTAAAGGTAAATTCTATTTTACATGATCTCACCAATGAAGACAATTCTTATTAAGGGTATACATTCATATACCATTAAAAGTTTGCCGCTAACACAAATCATTCTGCCTTTCTTTTGTGAAAGGTATGTTATACCTTTAAGGGAGAGAACTCCTGCAAATATCACAATGTGACGTGTGAGTTAGCTCCGTAAGGATTATACGTAGCATTATGCCATCAAGGGGAGTTAACTGTAACAAATAACAAGTACTTGTAAAACCTTACTAGGTAACATACTAATGTATAACCTCAATAACCATACCTGTTAGAATACAGAGCCTGCACAACGTGGTGACGAAGAAGGCAGCTTACTTTACTTTTTAAAGATTCGATCACGGAAAGCGTTTTTTTATGAAAACAACTTAACAGTATACGAGATGCGGTTGATATTTAATTCTTATTATTTTTATTTTTTTTTGGACTAAAAACACGTATACCTTTGCAATACTTTCTATAGGACGATAATAAAGATACATGTACAATGTCCAAGTGTTAACATAGCGTAGCTGAATTGAGTCATTTCGTTACATATATAACAACTATTGTACATACGTTTCCAGCGTAGCCGAAATCGACATCGATTTTACGGACAACTCGTACACATTTTACACCTTTGTGTGCATACGCTTCATTTGTCATTTGTCTGATGAAGGTGACAGTGTACATATCGTACTAGTCATCGAAACGTCACATAGAAAATTTTGTTGTTTGCGTAAAAAGAACTTCTCATAATACATGTACAATGCTTTTATGATTTTAACTATTTCTTTTAATGAGGCCGCGGTCTATTCTTATCACTGATCGAATGTAGGAAAATCACATTGCGTAGGTTATATCTTTGCCATGGAACTGTTTTCATTTGATCTTTTGGGATGGCATAGTTAGCTACATGTATGAATCAGTAAACAAATGCTTTCTATTGGAGAGTTGGTAAAAATTGATAAAAAAAATTCCCAATGTCAATAATAGAACTGCATTTTGTTGTGTTTAAAAGGTAAATTTATCTACAGCAATTACGCTAAAAGAGGAAGATCGACATGTTTCAAGTATTGATTGTTTCTCAATTAAGGTGCACATTCTACATTTAATATTAAAAAATACTTTTACCAGTACAATACAAGTCATTGTTGTAAATATTTTTGAAGATACTAGTTTTTACATATGAAGTTGTATATGCACGAATGAAACACTTTTGCATATGTATTTGCTGCAATATCAATTGGTTTTGTGTGTTGTCGATGTGGTATCTTCTCTGACTGTTTGTTAACATTTTGGTATATGTTGCTCCTTGGCGTTGAAGCTGTGCTATACTTTTACTTTAGATGAAGATGATGTTAGTTTCCGCCGTGTTTGCGACGTTGATAATGTATGCGACTTGCGTACTTCCGACTGTGTCCCAAGACGACCACCTTCTTGTCGTGCTGCAAGCCATGCACCACAGTAACACGTTCCGTCAACTTCCCACCATGGAGAAGGTCATCCTTGTGGAAATGCTTGCAGCGGCGGAATCTGACCAAATCACTCACTATGTAGATACGATAGGCTTCGACAGAGTTCTTCTCTTCCTTGACCGTGAGTATATATATTTTACCTACATGTACCATCATACATATCTCTTCTTTAGAAGAGTTTTAATTGTACCTAACGAAAGTATGACTTTACAAAGGCGAATCCTGTGACAATATAAATGATGTTATTGCAATAACTTAATCACGTCAACTCCCTCAACAGTAGATTTTCAGTCACCATCATGATAAGCAATCTGGACAGTTTCCATACAGGGAAACGCGTTTAATTCTTTGCAATATCAACTAAAGATAATTGGTTTAAACTTTGTTTTATTCAAATTTTGTTTGACAATACATCGAAATACATGTTTAATAAAACAGAAAAGGAAACAAAAACAAGTGTCGTGACACTTATGTAAATTTGTTACCTGTTTAGTAATCAGCTTTTCAACACTAGCTACAAGAATGAAGTAATATGTACAATAGAATAATAACGGGAATAAGGGAGGGGTAATGGATTAGTATTCAGTGGAAACCAGGAATGAATAACATATCATTATACATATGATCATCAAATGGTAATATCATATTGCTCTATTGCAATGAGTATGTGGAACACGATTCTGTAAATTATAACTATGGAATAGTAGATGAAAATGTCAGCAGTCCTGTAAATGGACACTCGAAAAAGGTTAAAATGTATATACAAGTTACATAGAATAAATCGCCACTAAATCAACTAATGACAAAATTAGTATGTCACAAAGCACCGCCATGATTGTTAAAAACGTTGCAGTTCACATACTAGCCATCACACTTATCAAATATAAGTCCATAAAGCACTTTCCCGCCTCGACCCTGGTACGTCCTGCTCTTTCAACATTACTTTATCAAACAATCATAATCATGGCGAGTTAGTGACATAATATGGTATAAAGAAATGCAATGGTAAAATCACTGAATATAAATCCAAATACATTTTAAAACATAGTAGTAAAACGAATGCAACACAACATACATATATATATATATATGTCAAAATGAAATTGTTAAGGACTATTCGTTTATTTGAAATCTTTTAGTTTTGAGAATACAATTTTGGACGGCTAGAAAAATCGTAGTGTTTTCTTGAGGGGTTAGAGAGTCATCACCAAAGATTAAAAGATTAGTTGATAGTTGATACGGCAAACTCAGAATATGAAGCTGTCTAAGCGCTGTCTATTTATTACATTTTAGCAAATAATGTGTTGAGTTCTAATGGCACCGCAGGAACAATTCGGGATCGGTATGATGTTTTTCGTAAACAAGTGTCCTTTTTGGAAGCTACATGATATACGCCGTTTTTTGCGTGGTAGATTTGACCCAGACGTGAACCCTGAAAGTAGTATGAAGGTGGACATGATGTACTATTAGATTTCAGAAAGGCTTTTAAACTAAAGATAATTAAGTCCTAGTCGTGTATCATTCTTTATCCATTTTTGTCTACATTTGTACTTTTCATTTCTTCAAAAGACAGCCCTGCAATAACTAGCTTTACTGACAAATTCATTATGATTTTAACCGTCACACACTTATATACAGCGAGAAATAAAAACGTGTTTAATAAAAACATTTATCAACCGGAAACTTAAGCAAATATACAAGATATATTCAGCTTATCCCTATGTCCGATGACGCGTTGTGTTTTAGACCATAATTTTGGAAAATGTACCAACGCTGATGAGTGTTCATAATTGTTGTAAAATGAATAAAGTTCACATTTATTTACCACCACTGGCATAAAGAAAGGGACAGTCATTACGCATGTAAGGGCCATACATTCTAACAATTTCGGATTCAAGGGTCACAAGTCACGATCAATTTCGAATCTCCTTTAATAAAACACTTTTTGACCATTACTAATTTTACTTATATTATTTTAGCATAACCTTATACGAACTGTGTCATTCCCTCTTATACTATGTGTACTATCAATCACTGCAGATATGTTTTCATTGCTTTGACTAACGGTGTTAATCAATTTCTTGTAGACGTCAACAGATACAATCAGACAGAGGCCCATTTACTGGAGAAATACCTGATACAGGTAATGTTAAACGCATGATCAAACTCAACGCTGAATCTAATTTACTTAGCACAAAAAGAGGATGGAAAATTTACCGATGGCAATATCACAAGTACATATCGGAGAATATAGAAAGGTTTAAAGTATGAATATTATCCCTACTAAACTATAGGTACTGTAATTGTTAAACAGTTATGGTATTTGTTGTGTTGACAAATAGTTTGGTCAGCATTGAACACGTTTTCCACGTTTACCTTTGAACCACGTTATCACTACTGTCCTTTGTAGCATAAAGCATAACAAAAAGAGGGTTACATGCAAGATAAGGTCACCTTGGCTCGAAGGTGGCGGTATGTGAGACTCCCTAACGAGGGATGGTCTGTTATCATGTATGACGAACCTTGGCTCGAAGGTGGCGGTATGTGAGACTCCCTAACGAGGGTTGGTCTGTTATCATGTATGACGTACCTTGGCAAATTACATTAAGTTAATTTCAAAACTGTTACAAAGACACCAGTTTTAACGAATGCCTCACAATTTGCAAATTAACTAATGAGAGTTAGCTAAACATGATAACCAGCCATTACTTGTTTTGAGAAACCGTTTTCCCATAACTCTAATATTTTATCCGAAAATCGCACATTTCTCCCTTGGAAATACAATATATCTGGTTCATATAGGGGAAAAATTGCCGTTGAATTGTGACATCACAATGTAGGTTAATTAACCCAACATGATTACCAACTTCGAGCCGAATTATTCAAGTGAGAAAAACAAAAATGAGAGAACCAAATAAAATGTGAATCGAATAGTTGGAATTATTTGTAAATAAATCGATTACAATGTACTTGATGTGAAATAATATTGATTTAAATAGCAATAAATATTTAAATTTTAATTAAAAAAACACTTTCACACTTTACTTTCATATTAATACAATACAAGCATAGTAATATTCAACAGAAATAGTTTCAACACATTAACAGTTGTGGTGATATTTTACATTATTTTTAAGCAAATTATCCATACTTATGCTTCCCATCAATATAAACAAATAGACAAGAACCAATCCATACATAGAAGCCAGTCCACAACCAAGCGAACACATCCGGCATTGGAAGCACTAAATATCAGTGTTATCGTAATCTTTTTTATTTCAGGAACTGGCAGAGGAAGAAACGACACCATCGGCAACAACGGTTAGTGTGAATACGTTTACCTCCATTGTCTATATATGTATGTAAATGACTTGCATGAATTAAGTCCAAAAACAAGTGACTTATATTTCTTTTACTCCTGCTGGTTCATTTTCAAATCTTAAAAAGAAAACGCGATTAAGCTTTGTTTTATTCAAAAATGAAAACTATATAAAGAGTGATAGAAACAAACATGATGGGCAGCCTTTATGAGTTGTTCAATTCTTTTCTATCACATACTGTTAACACAGTGGATCGATATTGTTATTGTACGAACTGCAAATCATCAGACGTGTAGTTATTTATAAGGGGAGATACATTTTCTTTTTAATATCCAAAACCGCTATCATAATGCCTCTCTACGTCAGACTTTATTTTATTGTGACTCCGATGTGTATATACTGACCGATATGAACAAGTTCTTAGTGTGAGTAAAGCAAATCATTTGGAAAAATTAAACAGCTTAAGCATTTTAGTACTTGTTTGATTGTCAGTATTGAAGTAGCTGGAGGTCAAGTGGCTCCAGTCCACAAAATGTTCCGTTTCCTTATTTTAGATGTTACACATTAAATAATACCTTGTAATAAACACATATAACATAACAATACGTTCGTTTTTTTAATAGATTGCGAGGCTGTAAATTAACTGGGGTAATTACGGAGGAAATTAATATAAATATATCTCTATATCATAACCACAAACCTTTCGCTGAATTTCATAACATAGGAGTTTGTTTTCTCTACGCTGTTTTTATTCCTCATGCTATCGACACTCTATGACTTAAAGCCATTCTTTTGGTAATTTTCAGCATTTCTGCTGCGTCTGTTGTGCAATTCAGGTTTTAAAACCCTATGTTACCATATCTTTGTTGTCCAGTATGACAGTTTCCATCCTGTATTTACTTCTTACCATCCTTATCTACCAATAGTTCCGCAGAAGTCTCCAGAGCGTCATCCACACCATCACCAGTAATGATGCCTTCCAGCATCTATCCGATACGGACCAAACCTTGATGCTGGACCTCGCAGAAGCAGCCGAGCACGGAAATGCCACAGCCTTGGTGAATCAAGTCGGATACTCTAAGATTCTTGCCTTGGTGGAACGTAAGTGGGTCACTTATTTTCAGTATAGTACAGTTAAAGAGATGCCCAATGAATGGGAAAAGTCATTCACCATGTAACAAAAGCTTTACATTGCAGTGCTTGGGGGTTTATTTGGTGTGTTACTGTAATATATAAAAGGACTCGAAAGATATAAAGGCAAGAGCGCTGCGATTCCTATATTGGACCCCGAGCTATAACTGAGTCATCGATATTCCACACTGTTTGGTTGTTTCTGTAAATATGACGACTTTGTGCGTATATTCAACGTGATCGTTGCCATAGGGAGTTTTATTTATAATCGTAACTTCACAGAAACCTTTTTTATCCGATCAAATAATCCAGTCTTTTAAAATGCCAGTAAACACTGGTATCACTGTAATTGAAGACCAACGCACATATAAGTAGTCAAGGTTAATAGCAGAATTAGAATGAGTAGAACCGATGTAATAAAAACAAATTTATCCAAAAACTTATTAGTGTAGGTTTGGTTTTATTCTGAGCTAACGCTAAACTAAAGTTTCGATCAAAACATAGACAAGAATCATTTAGGTATTTTGTTATCAAATATTTGCGTTTCCTTTCAGATATCATGTCGCCAGCAGAAACTCACGTATTCCTGCAATATTTGGTTTCCGTAAGCATTCAATCGTACATTGTATACAAGGCAGTATTTCCATATTAGTTACATATTAAGACTTAATGAAGACATGATAAATAATTTGAATACATATCTAGTAAGCCACATTACAGAGAACTAGACCCTTTTCAGATCATGAAATACAAATTCCTTTGCTAGTTTTACACAGTAATAATACAAGATGTAGTTTTATTTAAGTAACCAAACATATACACGTACGTCCATTTGACGTCTCATACTATTGGCCTCGTGTAACTAAGAATGAGCACATGTGTGGTGAAATGCCTTCATACATGTATTTGTGCAATGAGCTCCTTCGTATATAGTATAGCACTACTGGGCAAAATGCTGTCCCATTAATTATGCATACATTAATTTAAAAACAAAATATAAATAAAAAGCTGTTTTGATGACAATATTGGAAGATACATTTACATTCCAGATCTAGATCATGACGTCATACATTATAATCTATTTTAGCACATCGAAAAAGAACTTGGACACAACCACCATCATGGGCCTGTTGTTGGGTGATGTCACAGTCCTGAAGAATGATTTAGCTGTAGCTCCGCCTACTCTATACGAATGAACCAATAAACAGACAGCCTGATATGACATTGTTTCGTATTATTTGCATTCACTTATGAAGCCAATTCGACATTTGGTGTCTTTGCCGGAATTCTCATCAATATTAAACTAAATTGATGATAAGCGTTACATTTTACAAGATTAGCCTGTTAGGAGTGGAAAAATATTGATGTATTCATTTAAATGGTGTGTTTCAATGTCGCTTTTGATACAAGTTGGGAAAATGTACCATGACGTCAATACACAAGGCCAAGAACAGGTTAAAAGCCAATGCAACAAGGTAACACGTGGAGCTCGAGGATCACGAAAACATATTGATAGACATCATGATCCCCTAGTTTAACCGGAAACAAAATTAGTTAATCTGGGGTAAATTCGACTAAGAAACTGGAATTAAGCCAGTTGTTTCCTTATGGTGAACATGTCGACAGGAGCCGTCCCAAGATGTATTCCAAGATGTATCACAAGATGTAACACCTATGATGATTAAGTGTCAACGCTGAATGTTTGTTCAGTCTGCCTCAATTGTGACACAACCCTGGGATTATCATGTCTTTTCTTGCATACTAGACCGATATGCGGTGCTGGAAAATTCTATCCGACCCACGGGTCTGGATCAGTTGCACGCGCAGACTGGCGGGGGAATTATAGTGCTCAATATTTTATCCCGTGGGTTTGAATTACCTTATCCATACCTCATATCAGGGATGGATTCTAATAATCCAGCCTAGCTTATCTGTCACCAAAGAAATAAGACATACTTCGAAGTCTACAATCATATCTCAATATTTGAAAAATCTGTTACATGTAATACACCGTATCATATCAAACGCGTAGTTAAAATCCTCCCCTTGATACTTAGTTAGTCCACATGGCGTATATACATACGTTCGTACATGTATTCAATAGGTTCTGATACGTAGAACTAGCTTTAGAAGAATAAATCAATTGTGTTCCGTAAACCCATACGCAGTAGATGTCGTAAATAATACGTCAATACACATACCGGCATATACAAACGTAATAAGAAGAAAGCTGTTCACGGCATCTAGTTTTATAGATGTGTATTTACATTGTCCAATATTGATAAATAAGTTATGAAAGACTCAACGTTATATAAAACCAATTTGCATTGTTATACATATGGAAACATCAAGATTTGAAAATAGTTCAAAAGAAAAACGAAAGTCCTTTACCACCCGTAATGACATCACTAATGGGATTTGAATGGCAGGTAACAGCTTATCTTTCATCAGGACATCCAGTGAGCTAGCTTTTCAAATATCAGCTGACATAATGATTACGATCAGTTGGCTCAGAGACTTAAACAAAATATGAAGTTCGCGTTCGATGGTTTTTACCATTACTTGTGAGGAATTGGTGCACTACACTAAAACAAAACCTGAACCAGTTGACCAAATGATCGGCTACAACTTTTAGACGTGAGTAAGTGTACTTTGTTTTTCGTTTATGTACAATGTTGTTTTAAGTGTCCATATTGCCCGTCTGCTAAGTAAATCAAGTAAATGTAGAACATGTGGGTGTTTGAGGGAAAGTTTTAAATGAATCGATTTAAAACGACAAAAGGCATTTTAAGACTGGTCTGGTATTTTGTTTGTATTGCAAACGCTTAGAGAGAGACTCATGCTTAGGTAGGCATACTGATATGCTTTGTTTAATAATGAATTATTTCCCTTTAACTTTAACTAAACCATGAATATCGTCAAGAACTATTTTTTATTTACTTAAATATTTTTCTTTCATTTCTTGGTTTTGAAGCGCACGCAGGATTATACCACTAAAACAAAGTGTTTGTCAAATTGTTCTGAGCACTTGATTTCATTCGTGAATCCTCTCCAATTATTAATTGTCTCAGTTGAGAAGAGACATTTATGGGAATTTCAATGGGTTACGTCTGACGGAGAGAACATAACTGTTTATGATATCTATTTTATATTCCATTTGTTTTTCTGCTGATTATTTTAATTCAGAACCTAATTAAAATCGTTTCAATATATAGGTTAGAAAAACAAGTAATGTGCAATTTGTTTATGAAGGACTTATTTTTACTTAGTTATTATAATGAATTAGCTATTTAGATATATATATCCATCGCAATGTTACATATAAGCCTTATTCAATGTTTATAGAGCTAGTCAATAATACATGTAACCGGTTTAGTATGGCCTAATGGTTTATAAATATAATTGAATATCTTTAATATTCAAGCGTTTTGGAAACAAATTAACATAAAATTAGTGTATTATATATGGTACAATGTATATATAGGAATATAAACATAATGATAATTATATAAAATGAACCTCTGAGCAGTTGTTATCATTATGCATGAATGTTGGCAAAACATATGAGTATTTCCGACAGAAGACCTTTAACGGTAACCGAAGTTTGAAAAAAACAACAAAGACTATTGTCATCATCTGTATTTTAAATAGAAATTTAAACACTGAGCGTAATTTTAAATTGTGCGTGTTTGATGACCGAAAGATGACCTTCATATTAAATTAAAATGAATTGTACAAACGATGAAAACGTTGTCTTTCCTTGTTTTGTTTCAGTTCGTTAGGCAACTTTTCCATCGACTGACAAAGTATTTAACATCCGAGTATTAAATATGGCGGCCACACTGGTGAACGCTGTACTTCTGCTTGTTGTAGTTTTAAGTTTCTGCATGGTCGACTGTAGAGTAATTCAAACCACAAGGTGAGTAAATAAGTGAGGATGGGTAAGGTTCGTATGATGTGTATTAGTTTGTTTGTGACTTAAACACATATGTACGTATCTTCCTGGGTGTAATTTGGAACATTAAACAATTTCGTGAGACCTGATTTGGGTACAACAAAAATCTCAGGACCTACTATGATACAGAAACCAGTTTACATAAAAGAGCACCCATGATATCATCCTCGATAATCAGGTGTTTCGCTCACTGTCGCTCTCTTCACCCCTAGAATATGTCATAGCAAAGTCGATGGCTCAATATGTAGCACCTTGTGGATGAGACGAGAAGACTAGTTGGTCCTTTGATGTACATCAAAAGAATCTTGCGGTCGCGTAACGGTAAAAATCGACAGGCTTTGAAGTTGGGCATCGCTCCTTTGTTATCTTTAAAGGACAAGTATCAGTCTAGTGATTGGTCACGTTTTTTTACCCGACACCAATCAAATAGCTGGCCGCGTGCATTCAATTTTTCTATGACATATTCCAGTGGTGTATGGAGCTAAAATGAGCGTAACTCCTGGATTTCGAGGATGCCATAACATGTGGTTTCACCATGTTTTGATGCAAATAAAGGATGTCTTTTGTTTTCTTTTGATGTCTCTTTCATCCCGTTGGGTGATTTTGATTTATAGGTAAAGGGTGCCGACAAATTAAACTGTATATTTACAATATTAGAGTTAGTCTGGTGCAAATGAAATATTCCATGAAAATCTCATATTGCCATGCATTTATCTATTCAGGAAAGTTCTTTATTCTTTTCCAGCCTTCCGCCTTGTGATCAACCCACATATTACGAAAACTGCCCGAGTGATACGCTTCCCTCCAACAGTGTGTTTGACCCTAGCGTCGGGATAGTTCAGCTATCGTGCGGAACATCGGCTCAAACGGAAGGCGAATGCGTTACTCTCGGTAAGTTCTGACAAATACCTGATGGTTTATGTATATAATAACATACTCGAAGGCCGAGCGCTGGCGACTCTCTTTCAACAATATGGTGAATGGTCGACTTCCGTAAACAAGGGGTTGTCTTGACAATATTAAATTTTGGCGAGCACTTTAATGGGTGATAAAAACACATAGTGTCATGTTCTGTAGTGTACGGATGATGACTCCTCATGACCAATTGTCCTCTTGTTTATGTAGTAATAATACAAGTTAAAACATTTCTTATTTGTTATCAATGATCAATCGATTAATCGAAACATAGATATTTGTCAATGGGTTTACGATCATATTTGCAGGTGATGATAACATAGCTGAGTCCTACAGGTGCCCTGCCAACTACGTGCTGGTGGGCAGTGATAATAATAGGCCTGTCTGCTGTCAGCTCAAAGGTAGAGAGGTTATTGATAAACAAATGACGTACATCCGTCAAAACTATGGCATAGCTTCGTCATACATACAAGATTGTCAATCAGTAGGAGTTACAATGTATAACATTAATATGGCATACATACAAGATTGTCAATCAGTGAGAGTTACAATGTATAACATTAATATGTCATGCATACACATTGTCAATCAGTGAGAGTTAAAATGTATAACATTAATATGTCATGCATACACATTGTCAATCAGTGAGAGTTACAATGTAAAACATTAATAGGACATGCATACACATTGTCAATCAGTGAGAGTTACAATGTAAAACATTAATAGGACATGCATACACATTGTCAATCAGTGAGAGTTAAAATGTATAACATTAATATGTCATGCATACACATTGTCAATCAGTGAGAGTTAAAATGTATAACATTAATATGTCATGCATTCAACATTGTCAATCAGTGAGAGTTACAATGGATAACATTAATAGGTCATGCATACAACATTGTCAATCAGTGAGAGTTACAATGGATAACATTAATAGGTCATGCATACAACATTGTCAATCAGTGAGAGTTACAATGTATAACATTAATAGGTCATACATACTATGCTCATGCGTCACATGAGTGATATAAGTACGTTATATGTACAACAAATTGTCAGACAATTATTTTCTGAATAAACCATATCCCGAGTTAATAAAGCAATTTGTTTTTCATAATACCTGTTTTCTGTTGTATTTATTACAGGCATTTGCCTCACTGACTGCTTCAAACCAAAGATACTGTATTCATTCAAACTTGGATTTGAGTTTGAAATCAAAGAAGGGTATGCTCTGGTCGGCAAGTCTAGCTACGGGTAAATAACCTCTGTTCTACTGTTGTGAAACTGCATTAGATCATCATGATAGCTCGCTGGTATTGCCCACGTTTTGCTTCATTACTGAAGTAAAATGCCCCAATGGAATGAATCATCAATATGCTATCATTTCATTTATGAAAACAAAATCCTAGTTTGGTTTCTAGTAAATAAATACACTACCTGATAGCCTGTTAGTCTATCTGTCATGACTGACGAACACTCCCAATCACCGGCTCCAATGTATATTTACATATGATTGTGATTTGCTATTGTTCCGTTATTGATATATCTTTCTCGCAAAATTTCCTGATTTGAAAGCATTGAAATGTAACTTCTTTTGTCTTTTTGCAAACGTATCTAATGAAACCTTCTTCAACTTTGACACCTATGGCTACTACAGACCAATGTTTGATCTTGCATGTACAAACTTTATCATTGTTCGCTGACCGATTTAATTGCTGCTGGGGCGTGATGTCAATTAGTATTAACTATTCACACCTGTTGGACGATGGGTGGTTGGGTGTGGCTTTGGCAGTGTAATACACAACTAGAATCACAATTTAAGAAATAAAATATTCAATTCAGGTAAGCTTGTTACGCTTTGAATAACCTGAAGCATTAAATATTGATGTGCACATTAAGGTCACAGTGTGCATACCAAGTGTCACAGTGTGCATACCAAGTGTCACAGTGTGCATACCAAGTGTCAAAGTGTGCATACCAAGTGTCACAGTGTGCATACCAAGTGTCACAGTGTGCATACCAAGTGTCACAGTGTGCATACCAAGTGTCACACGATGGATACAGTGTATCTATATAATATCATTTTCCTTTAAATCGAGAGCAGGGAAGTCATGTGCGCTGGTGACGCCCCCTTGGATCCGCCTCTGATAAAGTAAAACTTTGATATACCAGTTTGCATAATGATATTACTGATGTATCTGTACACGTTTCAAGGGATGCAAGAAATCATTTAAAGAAAAAATATAATTTCACCCCTTTTCAGCAGATGAAAGCAAGATCATTGTCTCTCGATCATAATCTTATCCAGATACCTTTTGCTAGGGATTGATATCCGCATCTATGTTATATGCTGTCACATCCAAATTTAAGCTAAAGGCCCTGATGATATTTGATACAGTGTATCTGTCTAACATCAACGGTATGCACTTTGATTGTAACCTGTGTAGGATACACCATGCATATTATGAAATGACGTTTGTTTTTTCAGAAGTTGTTCCGAGGATCCAACCGTTTTTCAGATAGAAGTTTGTGAACTAACCCAACAGGAGACATCCCAACACCCATAACACAACTGTTGGGTGAGATAACTGGGAAACTCAACATCGCGTACTGTCTTAGAAGTATATATGTATCACACTAGGAAATATATCCATGGATCTGATTGGTGGGGAAATAAAAGGAGAAACAGGTCCGCATTATAAACTTTGAATACCACGGTCTGGTGGGAAAAAAAAGCAAAGTAGCATCTGGGAAATACATGTGTACATTATTATAAGGACCTTTGCATAAAATTGCACAACTTATGTGCTGGTATATATGTAGTAATACATTTTCACAACTTCTGTTCTGGTATATACATGTATGTAGTAATACATTTTCTTCAATTTGTATTTACATCGGAGCTGACACCGCATGTAGTTGGTAGCTGTTCATTAAAAGAGAATGTAGTTTAACTCATAGGTTGAGAGTGATTTTATTAAATATGTGAACTTACTTGATTGATCCAGGTGTGATTCGAATATATAACTATATAATATTATAAAGGTTAAATATCCTTACGCATCATAAGAATGAACAAAGTTTCAAATGAATAAACCAAAAATGCGCTATCATATCGTTTTGTGTTAATCAATGGTATTCTTTAATTAAATTCACTACAGCATTGAAACAGAATGACAGCACATACCAAAGCGTAACACACAATTATATATTACAGTGTAGACAAAGACGGGGAAATATATCACAGCGTCAACACATTAGATCGTTATATACCACAGTGTCAACACACTAGATCGTTAAATACCACAGTGTCACACTAGATCGTTATATACCTCAGTGTCAACACACTTAGATCGTTATATACCTCAGTGTCAACACATAGATCGTTATATCCCACAGTGTCAACACACTAGATCGTTAAATACCACAGTGTCACACTAGATCGTTATATACCTCAGTGTCAACACACTATATAGCAGATATCGATAATGCACATGGTGTAGATCGTTATACACAACAGTGTCAACACTTTAGATCGTTATACCACAGTGTCAACACACTTAATCGTTATATACCACAGTGTCAACATGCACTATCGTTATATACTACAGTGTCAACACACAAGATCGTTATATACTACAGTGTCAACACACAAGATCGTTATATACCACATCGTTACGTGAAAACATGGCGGATAGTGTACACGGACCACTAGATTAACTGACCGAGATGTTAATATATATGGCGATAGCAGAAGATAAGGGTAGAAAGTACGGGTAAGAAACTTGTGTGTGTTGATTGAGATGTTAGAGAACATTTTATGGTTGTAAAGTGGTTGAATGGGGCGTAAAGCAAAGACACGTAAAACAGCAACGAATAGTGTGAAGCGACCCGTGACCAGCTGGCCATTAACAGGTATAATGTATACATCTGGGCAACAGACTGCGGTGGGTACTACTCCCAAGGTCAACACGGAGATGTAAACACCAGCGCCCCGCCTTGTTTTTCACCGAATATGCCCACTTGTTCTATAATCATGAGTGCGTATAACGAAATGTATCGAATAAATGCACCACCTGGTCCCAGCTCTACAATGCAGATGTTTTATAATCCTGTTCAAATTCCGAATACCTAGCTTTCATCATCTCCCTAGAGAAACAACGCTCCTTGCCCTCCATCCCAACAGCTGGCACCCCTCATTTTCAGTATGTACTCAACGATATATACACGAGGCTTGCCAAACTTGACGTGCTAGATCATATCTTACAGAGACTTAATGTGAAAGAAGGCAAGTTTGCTTCTACTGAGGCCATTATAAAGGATATTCGTGGTGAATTCCGTATCCATAGTGATAAGTTGGAGAGAGCGGATTTTGACGACACGGTACTGGAAGTCAGAATCAGCACAGTCGAGGCTCAGGGAGATGACGCTCTATACCGATGTGATGAGCTGCACGAGGAGATTCTACAATTGAAAACTGGCTCCATGAAAGATAATCTTCCCTTTGGAGGTATACCGGAAAATAACAACCCAAACGAGGACGCAGTAGAAGTTGTGCAAAATCTTGTCAGAACAGAATTTGACATTGATAAGGACCTGGAGCTTCATGTCGCTCATATATTGAGAAAGAGGCATGATGGTAAACCAAGAACCATCGTAGCAGTCTTTTCCATACGAAATGACAAGGATACGGTTCTAAAGGCAGTCCCAACAAAACTGGCGGAAAAGAAAGTTACAGAACGACGCGAACTCTTATACCCTATATTCAAGGAGGCAAAGCGAAACGGTCAAACGGCTACTCTGAAAGAAGACATTCTCTACGTAAACAATCAACGTGTCCAGCCAACGCCTCAGCTGCAACATGCCCAATTCCGTCAAAACAAGAGATGCGATCAGCAACCCCCTCAGAACCGACATGAACCAGTGCAGATGAGGAACCGATGACCATCCGGACCAGACGCACGTCAAGGTCACCGCTAGGGATACGCAGCGAGAGGTCCCCCTTAGAACTTTCCAGTAGGGAAACTAAAAATAACTTATCTTGATGTTTGTGGTATCAAATCAAAACTTTAAGTGCCAGAATTTGAATAATTAATTAAATAGCATGATATTTTGGTATTTGCAGAGTGTAAAACCAATGGTTTTGATGTCCTAAGATTGCCACCCAAGTATATATACTTTGCCAAAAAATTATGTAAATTAAAGAAAAAAAATATTGGTATAGCTATTGTTTTTAAAAAGAAATCAAAATCAATGATGCATCTTTATACTACAGAATCGGAATACATCCAATGGGTTAAATTGTCAAAACATTGTATATAATTAGATAACGATATATTGATGAGGTGTGTGTGTATGTTCCACTCGAAAGTTCAAAATACTCGTCTCCAGATGCTTTTAATGAAATTGAAAAGAATTGATTGATATTTGTCAAAATAACTATAGTGTGGCCAATATTAGCGATTTCAATGCTAAAACTTAAATTTGTCAGGACTTTGTAGTACCTGATGATTGGTTCATTGAAATGCTGGATATTGACAAGAATGATGATTTGTACAAGTTAATGTATGATTTTATAAACTTACAACGACTTGGTATTTCCATACAACGATCAAGCCGGTGTAAATCCAAATTAAATAGTTTTGGTTATATACTGACCGAATTGTTTAAGCAAGATAAGGTATATATTGCCAATGTTAGAATTAGAAAAGATCACTCAATCGGTAAAACTACTTGTTATGACACAAGTGTTATTGATTATCTTTTATTGTCATCAGATCCTTTTCAATTTATCATAGATTTTGATGTTTTCAACCCTTTAATTTCTGATGTACACTGTAGAATTGAATTCTGTTGATTCTGTGGTAAAGAAACGTGTAATGAAGGAGAATTAAATCCTGACCTAATTAATAAATCAAATGACTATGTCAAATGAAATGTATATAATGTAGCAGAGCTTTACACATGTTGATGAGAATGGAAAATTAGGTCAACTTAATGAAGATAAATACGCTCCTTCTGGCCACCGTACGGCATTCTCTGAAGCTTATGGTCTTTTAAACATGCTTTCAGAAAGGAACAGGCTTCCATTGCTGAAGATGATATCAATGACACGGTTAATCTAGTAGCCTTTCAAGTCATCAGCCGAACAAATATTTGGTGAATTCAAAAAAGTACAACCAATATGGAATAAAATAATGATAGCAAAGCACGGTATATACAAGATTGTCATATGAAGAGAAATGAATTGCATAAAGCAATTGAGAAAACAAATGCTAAGAAATAAAGTAAAAGCTATAGACAAACATTGAATAGAGAATATATGATTTTCAAAGAAAAATGGAAAATGAAATAAGAACATCAAAATTCGAACGGAAAAAAAAAGAAATTACTCAACAAAATTGAAGAGAAAAAAGATAATACTGATGATATAAGTATAGACGACTAATACGAGTATTTCAAAAATCTCAACAGTGGAGAAAATGATGATTACGTTTTCAATATTGATCATCATGAAGATGGTAGATTTGATGGTATTTTAAATGGTGAAATTACGTTTGATGAAATAAAGCAACCTGTAGATAGCCTAAATAATAGCAAAGCCGGTGGTAATGATTGAATCATTAACAAATATTTGAAGAACACTTTAGATATGTTTATTCCTATTTACCACAAATTGTTTGATATCATATTAGCTACTGCACTTATACCGGAAGCATGGAGGATCGGTGTGATAAAAACTATATATAAAAATAAAGGTGATCCGAAAGATCCAGATAATTGCATGGCTATAAGTCTCATATCATGTATGGGAAAAGTATTTACGTCAATTCTTAATAAAGGACTGAATAAAATGTCTGATGAAATTGGTCCATTAGTTGAAACCAAGTTGGATTCAGAAAAAAAACATTCAACGTCTGATAACATATCTATTTTTCATTCCTTAATTAATATTTACTTCAAATTAGCTAAAAACTTGTATTGTTCATTTGTTGATTTTAAAACGGCTTTTGATTCAGTGTTGATGATTGGTTTGTGGCAGAAAGTACAGAAAAGTAATATCAGCGGCAAAGTTTTAAAAGTGATCGTTAAATTGTGTGATAATACAAAATCCTGTGTCAAAAAGGGTATTGAGATTTCGTAAATGTTTACAAGCAATATTGGCGTAAAACAAGGCGAAAATCTATCACCATTCTTATTTGCAATCTCTCTGAATGGTTTGAAAGACTTATTTTAGGAAAATGAAGTAAATTGTTTACAAACAGTGGAGTTAATAAGTAATAGCATTGGATTGTTTATTAAATTATCCATCATGGTATATGCTGATGATACTGTTATCATGTCAGAAACTGCTGATGGATTACAAAATGCACTTATCGCATTTGAAAAGTATTTTAAACTTTGGAAGCTTACTGTCAATATACAAAAAACTAAAGTTGTTATTTTCTCGTAAAGAAAGTGCTAAAGTTATCCCATTTTTTTATTGTACAATATGGAGCTTGAGAGAATAGAATCATATTCTTACCTTGGAGTTATTTGGAGCGAAAGCCATGCATAATTAATTAGCATACTGCGCTCTTATTGGTAAATGGTTTTTGCCCAGTCACTTTGCCAGACCAGGTTCTGATGAAACTAGGTTAACATATTATTCAATAACAAAGGCGAAGTTCAAAGATAAACAAAATCTGTGCATAATCTATTTAATGGTTTAAAATAATCAATTATTAGCCAAAGGGGTAAATGCCAATTTTAGATTTTAACGTTTGAAATACGGACAAAGGGAAGCAATTCATATGCAAATTAATTATCGAAAGGTCTAAAATGATATATTCTAGAGAAAACTTGGTACCCTTCTTCTGAAAAACCTATAAAGATATATTGTACACACAAGAATAATAACTTCACAGTGGTACACTTTTACATAAAACTAGGATTCATAACGAAATTATTGGTAAATCCTTTTGTACGATATGATGGGCACTTCGTCTTTTTTTTGTTCCCCATTCCAAAAATATTATATTTATCTTGGTCTACCTTTTGCCTTAGCTTTCAGTACTTTGAGCACTTTGATTGTTAGTGTTTTTTAAAACAATTTAACTGTA